ACGGAGTTCCAAGAGACGTGATCGGCGATAATGATGTCCAATTTGTGGGAACAATTATGCAACAATTTGCGCACTTTAACTTCCAGTAACGTCTAACACCTGTATATCATCCTGAATCAAACCCAGTAGAGAGGAAGAACAGAGACATGAAAACACAGTTGTCGATACTCATTTCTCACGATCATACATTGTGGATGGATAAGTTGCCGGCGATTCGATTTGCTATTATTACTGCCAGATGCGATTCAACTGCAGATATGACATTTGGTCGTGAATTAAGAACCTCCGAAGATGTGAACAGGGATATGCGAGCTATTACCGAAAATTACACTTTCGTTCCACAACTTACCTCTTACCTGCACACCTTAAGCAGCACCCTTCGAGAGGCTCGAGAGAAGCATAAAAGGAGTCAAGACAGACGCACACAGATTAAGGATCAAGAAAGATCATTTACCTATTAGCCTATCCAAAACACGTGTCTTTGACAAGCAAACGAAGGGTTTGTGTGACTCTTGGCGGACATTTTAATTTAAGTTTCACAGCACCTTGGTTAGTCGTCTATCCAAAACACATGACTTTGACAAGCAAACAAAGGGTTTGTGTGCCTCTTGGCGGACATTTTATTTAAGTTCGACAGCATCTTGGATAGTCTAATAAGACAGGAGATAAAGTTCTACTTTATTCACATGTTTTGAGCAGCATCAAGAATCAGTTTGTATCGGTAGCAATTCGCCAGGCAACATACCTCGAAGAAGAATTAGTTAATTATAGGTCTAATGCAGATTCATAATTTAACATTTCTTTTTTCCCAGGTGTCAGAGCTATGTGAAAAGCTTGATCTTGTAGTTACCATTCCAAGAAGAAACGCACGTCAAACGCATCGCGCCCATCTTGATGTCGATGATCCGAAAACCTATTATCGCGCTTCTATTTGTATTCCATTTTTAGATGCTTTCATTGCCGAAATTAAATCTAGGTTTATAAAACATAAAAATGTATTAAGATCTTTTTCATGCTTTGTAACGAATTACGATAGCAATGAATCTGATGAAAAACTTTAAAAACCTTAGTGGATGAAGATAGTGAGGTTTAGGACAAAAATCAAACTCCTAGATTAAAAATTCGCCGACGTTTCGGCCTTATATTAGGCCTTCTTCAGGGCTGAAAGAATAATACACATTATTATTTTCTATCTGCATCCTGAAACATCGCTTTCGACTACAGTAACGATTAAAAAAAAAAAAAAAAATTGACAATTAGAAAACTAGACAGTTACAAAAATTTTTTTTTTTTTTTTTTCGAAAAATTCAAAAATTTCTTCTTTTCCTATCATTCAACATTCAAAAAACAAAAACAAAATAAATATAAGAAACAATAAAAGTACAAACAAACATCAAAATCTTAAAAAACACAAAAGTTAATTAGACTACAGGTAACGAAATATGAAAAGTTCGATGGTTATTCCAGATCTCAACACTGTTATTTCTATATTGAAACATGAAAATATTCTGAGTTAGCAGGGTAGAGAAGCAACCGAATAGATTGTAATCGATTTGGTAGTCGAAATTTCAAACTTTTCACTTAATTTTTTAGTGACATACCTCTTCTTCAAAACAGGAGCTTTCGTAAACACTTAACTCTAAAAACTCCACATTGTACATAATCATTTGTGACATGATTGAAACAAAACAACACAGACTTAAATTGCGGGAAGAGATTTTGACCACACACTAGCAACCAAATTCAACTGTTGTGATATGGTTCCGTTTAATATTTGTGTGGTTTAGAATTTCCATAAAAAGTTTAAAATTTGTTGGCACTTTTTCTATTTTATAATGCATGTTTTATGCGGTATTATTATTATTATTATTATTATTATTATTTTTTTTCCCCTTTCTCCCGTCATTTACTGTATGTTGTTTTTTATCACATCCCATTGGTAATTAAGTAAATTCTATTAAGTTGTTGTCATTGTTTTATTTTTGTATTGATTCAACAGGTGGTTATAATGAATACTGAGTCCCTATGTATCAGTTCTATGATTTATTGTGTCATGTAATGTTATCTGAATCATTTCACTTATGCATCTTTTTCGGTACACGTTCTCACTATCCAAGATTGACGTAGTGGAAAAATTAAAGTTATGGCCTGTGTTAAAATGATGGCTAGAAAGGGCAGTTTTCTCATTTTTGTCTCTATTGTATTCTCTGCAGTCATACTATGTTGTTTTACCCTAGCTTTCAAATATTGTTTTGTGGTTCCGACGTAGCATTTTTCATCGAACTTTTCATATTTCGTTACCTGTAGTCTAATTAACTTTTGTGTTTTTTAAGATTTTGATGTTTGTTTGGACTTTTATTGTTTCTTATATTTATTTTGTTTTTGTTTTTTGAATGTTGAATGATAGGAAAAGAAGAAATTTTTGAATTAAAAAAAAAAAAAAAAAATATTTTTTTTTGTAACTGTCTAGTTTTCTAATTGTCATTTTTTTTTTTAATCGTTACTGTAGTCGAAAGCGATGTTTCAGGATGCAGATAGGAAATAATAATGTGTATTATTCTTTCAGCCCTGAAGAAGGCCTAATATAAGGCCGAAACGTCGGCGAATTTTTAATCCAGGAGTTTGATTTTTGTCCTAAACCTCACTATCTTCATCCACTACTTCTAAACCAAGGACGCGAATATCTAAACCATTTAAAAACCTTGTTAAGTTTTACAAATCGGACTTAATCGAAAACGGCAGTTTTATTAATCAGATAGGTACTGTTGGAAGGTGAATTTAAAATGTGGAAAAGGGACATGAGAGAGTTTGTTCGAAAGTTTGTTGGTTCATATCTGTCTGCCATGGATATGTTAGTAAATTGCCGCAAAAACTTATTCCCAAATATCTATACGGGGTGTTCCTTAATACATGTACAAACATAAGGGGGTGATTCTTTGGTTTATTTTATGTCTAAAATTTTTAATAAACATAGGTCCGCAAACGCTTCGTTACCGATCTACAGGGTGTTGAAATTTTAATATATTCATATTGAAAATGAGCAAGAATATAGCGGCGAGGGGTGTCTTACTTCTAGATTCCAATGGAAAATGAGCAAGAATATGGCTGCGGGACCTTTATTGTCGCCACTGTAGGTAAAAAAGTTTCATTGAGTCACCTTAGCATCTAGCTAATTAGAGAGATTTGTTTTTTTTATTTTTTTCTCGATAAGGGTCGGTGATACGAAAAAACTACAACAGAACAAAACTTTTTTAAATAAGATAGAAAAATTATTTTGTTTCCTAGAATCGACCAGCGGCGCACCGCAAAAAAGTTCAGGGGCCGAAAAGGGGGCATGACCCCTGAAAAAACATCACCCCAGAGATTCTGACAAACATTTGATGTGTGCAATTATTAAGCACCTATTACGTAACCTATATTCCAAATTTGAGCTAAATCCCTCTTCAAAAAAGGCAGGAGCTATAAAGGAAAAACTAAAAAAAAAATACTAAAATTTCAACACCCTGTAGATTCGTAACGAAGCATTTGCGGACCTATGCTTATTAGAAATTTTAGTCATAAAATAAACCAAAGAATCACCTCCTTTCGTTTGTACATGATATTTTGGAACACCCTGTATATTATTGAAAATATTTTGCGTTATTCCAGTTTCGACGGCTACTCCAGAAAGGAGTTATTCTACACTTGGCTAAAAAACTATTTGCGCAACGGTACTGGGGAAAATACATTAACCTCGTTATCTTTATTAAATATTTATTATGGGATTGAAATAGACATAGAAGAGGTCCTGAATAGAATGAGCCAAAAAGCTAAACATTTGTTTATGATTTGTTTTTTTTAGTTATCCACTTATGTTTTCATAATTATTTTGCGTGTAATTTTATGTGAATACCTACATTTTTTTGTAAAAAATAGAAATAAAGTTTATTTCACTATGTAATAAAGTTTTTCTATGACTACACTACAGTTTGGCTCACCTAATGCAGCAAGGGAAACAGTGCTCCACCTTAAAAGTACGCTTCCCGATGCTGAAAATCACGTTTGCGACTATGCTATTTTGATAAAAACAGTTGTATCTAGGAAATTTCAGCCAAATGTTTTCAAGGATTATATTTTTGTGCTTGTTTGACCAGTAATTTTTTTTTTTTGATTTTTCTTATTTTATGAAAAACATTTTTCCTACAGCCGTGTGGAAAAATCGGGAAAAATGCATTTTCCGCACTTGTTAGGTAAATAGCTATTTCAAAAAATCAGAAAAAAAAAATAGTGGTCATTCTTCAAAACAGTTTTTGTTAGAATTTCCTAGATGCAACTGTTTTTATTAAAACAGCATAGTCGCGAACGCGAAATATGAGTAAGTATGTCACAGGCGAATTTCTTACAAAAATTGGGCGTGGCTTCACATATTTTTTTTCCACCTGCGGCGCTTTTTTTTTTGGTCACCACTTTTTATTATAACACAGCCCCCCCCCCAAACTAAAATCCTGGATGCGCCTATGACCCAGTTAGAAAGTTAATAGAATGTTTGATGCATTTATTGTTGGGCTTCCTCTAGTCCATACTTCCAGAAAGATATTGAACTCCTAGAAAAAGTGCATCAGCTTAAGTTTAAAAAGTTGTTACATGTAAAGAAAACAAAAACTCTATCTTCAAGGCCATTCTCTTCAACTTAGTCTAGTGAAATAGAAAAAAATATTCAGTCAAGATGGTTATCACTTTTTTTAGTCAGAGATAAAGTTTTAATAATTTGTACACACATCACCCCTTAAGTAGTAGTAGGTAACTCAATCGCAAACGTCGAGATAGCCACCAGGGCAAAGTGAAGAAGATAGATTTAGGTACCATACAATAAATAAGTTTCTTAATAAGGCGTTTTTATTTCTCCTACTGATTAGTTTCTCTTCTACTGTTCTTCATGTTTCACTATTTTTTATTTTTTTTTGCTCTATTCTGTAATGCAGATGAGGAATAAGGTCAATATAAATAAAATTCAAATAAGGTAGAGTTAAATTGAAAAATCTTTTTATTAGCCATATAATAATATATTTAACAGCAACTACAATACAAAATTTACACACTATATAATAACTTCAATATAGTTTAATATGATTATAATACATAGGATTTACAAAATGCTTGGATTTATTTTACATGATGAAAAAATATTGCTAAACTCGTAATCTCTTATAATTCGTTCACCAATAAGAAAAAGTTAACAATGCGAAAAAACCAATAATGATCCAACTTCCATACCACAAAACATTCTGGACACACGAAAAATTCCATCTTTTCCTTATCAGCAAATTAGATTATGCTTCCCTTTTATCTCGGTTCAAAAATCATTATTGCAATAATCAGAACTTATCGCATAACACCTCAACAAAAACAATGTTTACAATAATATGAGCAATTTTTACAAATTTTATTTACAAACTGCCAATGAAGATGCAGAGAATATACCTAAAATTACAGTCAAACAAAAAAGTTAGAGCAAAATTGAGAATTTTTTTTTAGGCTAACCAACAAACCATACAAATAATTTATATATCTCGATTATCTACTAAATTTATTAAAATGTGCTTAGTTTTATTTCAACAAATCGAGACCTCTAGAAAGTCTAAAGAAAACCATAGTCTTTAAATTTAAGGCCGAAACTTTAGAGTTAGAGTTCATAAAAAAAATTCTTTGATTGATTAGCCCAATATAAATTTCGATTTTAAGCGCAGTACACCGCCTAAAATACGAACCCTACAATCTAAGTCAGTCGAAACGTATACAGGGTGTGTAAAGAATACAAAAATATTTAATTAAAATGAAATGAGAAAAATTTTAAGATTTGAATTGCAAATAAAAGTCATTGTCCAAATATATCACCAAGAAGAAATAATTAAATATTTTTATATTTTTTAAACACACTGTATTTCAGGTAACTCTGCAACTGTCTTTGTCTTATAACGTCCTACTTGGGTACAAAAATACACCGAATGTTACACTACATTTTTCATACTGTACCATTTCAGGCTCATAAAATTTTAAAATTCGAAAACTCTTATTATATAAGGACAGTCGATCTAATTTTTTATTATTATTATTATTATTATATTATTAACTTTTTTCAGCACAAATATAATTCTTTTTTTTTTTTTTGAGAAACTAATAAATATTGTATAAAGTACATAAGAATCATAAAGGTTATTTAATGGTTAGGTAAGTTACATTATTATTTAATTCAACTTTTAGTTCCTTTCAATCAAAACCTAACCAGAGGTGTGGCTATTCAATGATTTTTTAATTTCGATAGATAAATATACGTCTAAGAATTATTGTAATGGGTAGTTTGGCGTTTCTACACTTTTAATAACCTTTGATGCAACTTACTTACTTTATACAATAAAGCTTTAAAAAAAGATAATACATACATAATTTTATTTTTATTTTTGTTTTCAACTAAAAATTAGACCCAAAGAATATTTTACTTTATAAAATTGAAAAACAAAGGCATATTTATTTGTGCTGTTTACTAATTGTAATTTCTAAACATTGAAAGCACATGTATTGACGCATGGCATGGCGCCTTGTATAATATCATTTTTTATATAAGAATATCGTTGTCTACTCTAAACAAATTTCAAAACGTTATATCCCATAATCTTATGGTTTAATTTGTGCATTGACTTGAATTGTCAAGAATTTAACCAAAAAGATAAGAGTTTTAAGCGTACAATATTAATCAATCTTTTTTTTCTAAATCGGTTTTTTCGTAAACTGTACAATTTGAAAGTCTCAACAACAGTTTTTTTAATTTGCAAATTGTCCAGAAATATAGGTATCTTATTGACGGAACGCATTACTTTTATAGAATAAGGAACATGAAGAAATTAGTATTTACAACAGACGACAGTGTGCATAACAAAGTTTAAAATTACCTTTAGAATAACAATTTCACGTGTTTTCTTTTTTACAATTGACAATATTGCAAATTTAGAAAAATATTTCGAAATTTTTTAATGATTCATAAAACCATTATTCTAAACGTTCTGATTTTGGTGTTTACCGGACATTTGCTTGCATTATACGAGTAGTAATTATTAGACAGGTAACAATTTTCTTCCTTAAAAAAAAAAAACGGTGGCTAGAAAAATGTAATTTTACAATCACATAGAGTGCGTAACATTTTCAAAACTTCAAATAAATTGTTTTGTATAAACTGTTTTGGAGTAAGAATAATGTTACACGCTGTATATGCAAAGATTATTAAATATTGTTATTTATATCACCCTTACTAAAACATTACCTCTGTATTCAGATCAAACATAACCCAATCCTTACATCACTACATCATAATATCCAATCGTACCCAATATCTATTTTTGTTTATAAACCCTTACAGTACCATCTGAGTAACTTGACATATTAAGTACAAGATATTTTGGCCAATGTTAAAATTATGTCCACCTGGCTAAAGTAAAATTATTATCTAAAATGTCATAATTTGCACTGAAAAACGCTTTAGAAAGTAATTGCACTCTACCCAATGCAAAAAGTGCCACAATGTTCAATATTATTTGGTCTGGCCCTCGTACGTACAGGTTTAGCAAAATAAATATGTATTTTTACTGTTACCTGAAAAAATATAGGTTTGAATACATACGAGGGAGAGTCGTAAAAAATTTGGTTCTAGTTGTTTCAGAGTAGAAAAATTGCTGTAGAACCACTATGTACAAATAATTAATTTGTTGATTATTTATTTATATAAATATTTTTTTCATAATTTATGCTTTATAACACATAAATTTATATTATTACAGGTAATAATAGCAAATAAGTGAGTAATGATTAAAATATGTATAATATGCATGGCTAACAAAATAGTAAATTTATTGAAAAACAAACAATATTATTTTGCAAAGTAGGTAATTTACCAACAAGAACTTTTTCAAATAAAATACAGCAATTACTTGGATTGACCTAACTTGCTGCATTTATACTGAATATGTAAGTAGGTATCTTTTTTAAATATTTTAGTTTTATAGATTATTTAAATATCTTATTATCTAACGCATAAATCAATAATATTATGATGACCAATATAGTGATTCTAAAACAATTTAAAGTTATTGAGAATAATAAAAATAAGATAAATAAACTTTGGTTAAACAACGAGTTCCAAAATTTCTCAGACTGTGAAAAACATATAAATGTCCCAATTGCAATATCTCAGCGTCAAAAACGTAAGTAGCACAAGCGCCCCCAATGGAGTCACAAAATGCACCCGGACAATAGAAAAGCAGCAGCACCTGTAAAAAGACTAATTAAACGGACTTTTTTTGAATTTGACTAACCAAAACTTAATTGGTCATCAAATTATCGAATCAAATCGAATCACAGCCTGATATTGTGTCCATCGCATTCGACGGATCTTAAAAATCTGTCTAAACTAGAAAATCGGAAGTGTCTACATACTTCGACGTCTCAATGAGCTAGGCACTAATAACTGGTAGATCAAAAGAAAGACTGGTGAACCTAACAATGTCGGTTTCCTTTTTCTGTTTATACAATATTATAAAAAAATGAGATCAAAACTGGGGTTAAATAATAATAATATAAATATAACATATTATTAACGATATCGTGGTGGACTCTTGAAACAATCGTCGTGGACCACCGCGATTGGACTCAGAACACCGATAATTATTCCATTATCAGCTCAATAACAATTATTGATTGTATGCGTCCAACAGTCTTAAGATTGCTCCCTTCACATTATATAATTTTCCACTTCACCCCAATTATTATCCATTGTAAACAAGTCTCTTGGACAAGTGAAGTCCAAATGTGAACCTGAGTGGTTAGATGTGGCGTCGAAGCTAGAATCCAAATCAGCTAATTCTTCTAGATCTATGCCTTCCATTGGAAGTAGATCTATATTTTCTAGGTCTTCTAACGTATTTGGGATTTGTGTTACACACGTGAGCCTATCGTCTGGTTCTTCTTTGACCAAATTCACCCACGAATCTTCGTATATTGTTGCACTTTCGGGTGAATCTGGCGTGTCACATGAGGGACTTGATGGTACCTTGGCTAAGAAACTTATAGGGAGCTGTTGAGTCGTTGTGGTAGGTAGACCCTGTCTGATTGTTTCATACGTATCATAGCTAATTTCCATTCTTGTAACAGGCTCTGCTTTAGGTTCAATTATTTCAGTTGGAGGAATGGAGAGCCTGCCTTTCAATCTCGAAGCCACCGATTCTGGTACTGTTGTGCGTCTGTTGAATATTTTATCTTTGACCAACGAATCGTTATTGTTGTTGTCGTTACGTTTTGATTTGCTGCTTCTCTTCGATGATTTTTTGGAGGCCGTTTTTGGCGCTGGTTTAGCGGTCTTCTTTCTAGGACGATACTTGTAATCTGGGTATTCTTTTTGATGAAGTTGGCGAAGTCTTTCAGCCTCTTCCTTGAAAGGCTGTCTTTCGTCTTCGTTGAGCAGCTTCCAGCGCTTGCCCAAATTTTTTGAGATCTCTGCGTTGTGCATGTCTGGGGATACTTCGCAAATTTTTCTGCGTTCTATCTGCGACCACACCATAAACGCGTTCATTGGCCTTTTGATATGGTTCGGATTGTTCTTTTTAGTCTGAAACAAGAGAAAATATTTGTTTAGTAACTGTTGCATGGCATTTTAATTTGATAGTTTTATGCAATAAACGTAATTGCAGTTGAAACATTCAAAAACTCGATTTGGATTGTGAATATTTAGTATAGAGATATGTAAATCTAATAAAGAATTAATATGTTAGTGTGAATATATCGTGACCAGAATCAGTATTCTTTTTATAGTCAGTCGATAATTTATCACAAACACAGTGTGAGCAAGGACAAATAAACAATGCAATCGTCGATACAATCTAAAAAAGGTTTTCTGTCCTTTCATGACTTCATAGATGACACACGCGCATGTCCGGAAGATATTGAAAATCTAAAACCCCGCCGGCACGTATTGGAATATCAAGGATAGGCGTGTATGGGTTTTTAATGGGTATGTACGTACATTATTTCAAATAATGTGTACACAAAATGGGTATTATAAATAACTAATTAATTAGGTTTTATTCATATATGGTTGTTGTTAGAGGCATGTAAACTGTTTTTCTTAAATAAGCTTCCTATAACGAGTGTGGAATTTATTTGCCATCAACAAAATGTCCTAGTTAATGTTAATTTCATAATATTTTATTAGTTTGGATGCTTATGGTTCTGTGTAGGACTGGAAAACCTAATGTGCATGACTACAGATTTTTTAAATATGTATAAGGAACAATGTATGCATTGTGACTTGTGCATCAGATAGATAATCAATTTTCGATTTTCTTTAATAAACTTACAGGAAAAAAACTTCAAAGTCACGAATATAAATTAGCTTCCTCATTATTTGCAACCATCGATCATGGTGCGTGAGACTCGACTGGTCTGATTAACGGTCATCGGAGCAATTAGTTGCCTTAAGGGAAATACGTGTTGATATCGGTCTAGAGACTAAGTTTTCGCGACAAGAAAAATTTATGGGACGCCGACTTTAACGGAAAAACTCGGATAGCAACACAGAGGCGAAGTTGAGTCACGTGAGATGTCACGAACTCAAAGACACGCACGAAGTCAAATACAAAGTAGATTGGATAGTTTTCGGTATGGGATATTGAGAATGTGATCCGCCGTTAACGCTATACCTTATACTTTGGAAAACCAAGAATACTATTCTGACAAGAACCCGGAACAACGTTTACATAATAACGAGCTGAATAACTAAAATATATTTCGTTAAAACATCTATAGCTATACTCATTGTTCAGATATTGTTTTCAGTTCGAAGATATTTTCCAAGTTGTCAAAAACTCCTCATTATAATTCATTCCACGTTGAAGTCAATCAGTCCGCGTTATTTTTTTCTATTTCCTACGTTACTTATGCGTGTAGTTCTGTCGTGCTTCATAAGTTTGACAATATCGTGATTGGATTATTAAAAATTCGGTGCACAAAGAACACGAACGGAAATGTTATTTGGGATAAATTGGTTTTGGCGTACATATTGGTTTGGAGTTCGTTGAGAACACATTGGTGAAGAAATACATACGTATAACCTTTGTGAAACAGTTCTCTTGTTATCTTTTTCCAGATAGTGTTTAAACTTACGTTTAAACTAAACAGTGAAACGACGCAACTTTATTTTTTAGTATTTATGTGTAATAAGTAATTCGCTCAAAGAACTAAAAAAATAATCAAAACGTACATTTTTGCAGACTAATCTAAATGTCCTACAATTAACAATTGGTTTGTTCGAAACTCACAAAATAATTTAATTTTTTTCTATTTCAGTACCTACAAACAAATTTTAAATGCTTTGTAAAGTGTTCAGAAACGGTATACAGTTATGGTCTCACATACATAGGAACGATAACACTCCATTCCATTCGAAGTGGATTAAGTTAAGCTTCGGGGTCCAGTCGGTAGGGTAATTAAAATAGCCGCAACGGGCTGTCCAATCGAATTAGGTGCTCGCTTTAGGGCGACACTATACCGTTTACCGCCCTGGATAATCCATATATTTAGTATTATTATTATCTCTTCGAAAATCGATGCCATCCCTGTTCGGAATCACTGTAAATCTTTGGGGATTTGGAGACTGATTCAGTGAAGATAACAGTGTAAACGACATGCCATTTTGGATTTTAAAAATTGCTGGATATCAACCATAAAATAGATTTTCTTAAAAAAAAAAAAACTTCATTGAACAGTGCCAAGCTGAAAATATCGAATCTCGTGAAGTTCAAATATTACCCCTTTAAACGCGTTTTCTTAAACGTGACATAATAGATATATTTTTTTAAATAGAAAATCTTAACGGTTGCTGGTCTTGCAGTTAATGTTTTGCGAAACACGTGCATACAAACTAAGTCTTATTAACACAAATGGTAGGTAATTTCAACAGCTGCGTAACAACGGAGACATGAGCCGGTGTTCGAAAATTTTGTTGGGCTCGACAAATAAAACATTTTTTTGGTGAAACCTCTACAACTTTATTGAACTAATCGACTTGATAAAATTCAGAAATCACCAACTACTTTCACTCAACATTATATTATAACAATTTTCTTATTTAAAATGACTGCAATTAACAAACTACGCACTTTATATACCAGAACCTCCGAGAAATCTCTAGAATTCTTGTAAATTATTGTTTATCCAAATTCAATACATAGTATGGAAATCAATTCCTGACTATTCATGCATCGGTCGTGCACAGTGGAGTTGGCTTTTTCTTTCAAGGTGCAATACCTTCTCAATCTCTTCTACCTCCTCTCAGATCCATAATCCGATCTATCAATCTACATCTCGCTAATATGAGCAGTTCTATGTTTTTCGGGGAAAGAACCATGTTTTAGGAAATAATATCTTTTCTAGTACTCGTAATCATTTTCATCATTCCAACTATCCAGATGGTCAACATTACGTTCAGCAGAATCGCAGAATCACCAAGCGATGAATCACTGAAAAATCGCTACCTATCGAACGTGACCCTAATCGCCAACGCCGACAGGTACCCAAAAAACTACCCCTATTGCTATTATTGCCATTGTGTCAGAAGGACAGAAGGTAGAATATGTAGTGGCAATTTTTTTCTTTTAGAATATTATGTGTGGTTTTACTCGGGCGGTAGCCTGGTTCAGACACATAGCACACTGGTAGAGACACCACTGCCTTTAAAGTATTTAATATACCTTGCATTAAATTGCATAAACAATAAATATTTATTTCAGAGAAAACTTTTGTATAGTCTCAAACCGCGGATGTAACTAATAAATTACACAGAGCGAGTGAATCTCCAAAAGATTTATGTATCTTAACTTAAAATTCGTAGAATAAAACATCTGCCTGGCTTGCAGCTTTTTAAAATTAATTTTGCATAAAAAGGTATTCCTAGAATAACCACTTCTTTGCAAAAAGTGAAAATTGCATTTTTGTGACCAAATATTTATGTTATAAAATCTTGTTCAATTTAAACATACTTACACAAGAGAAAAAATTGAGCATACAAAATATTTCGATTGGTATGGAAATTTGTTGCTTGCCAATTTCGCAATTTACAATGTATCTTGTTTGCAGTGAAATATACTTATATTAAATAGTCTTACACTAAACATAACCAAAATGTATTTCTTGTGAGAGTTTCTCCAAGACTTTTATTTGAACATTATCGTGGGCCTTGTATATTCTCCGTAATTGCCCTGATAAATCTGAGTTAAGCTCCGGAATAAAATAGGGAAACAAGAAAACAACCTTGCAGCTGGAAACCATATCATAACCGAGTTAGCCTAACTCCATCAGGGAAAATAACATATTTTTCCATTAATTTTCCAAAAATAGCCTCTCTCAGATCTCAGCATGAGGTCTTTCAAGAACACATAATACAACTGATTTCCCAAGTACTAAACATATTACCCTATTTTTACCCCGTCCTTGCTGGAAAAACAAGTCGACTCCTACTGGGAATGTGCCTGAATTTAAACATCCAACGAATACATAGCCTCAATTAATGTTGTGAGTTTTTTTAAGGCAAATAAAACAGGGAAAGTGGGCCAGATTGTGTTTTTCATCTGCTGCCTGGATCTAAGTGGGTCAGAGTGTAATTGGTTTTTCGGATATTGATACATTCGCGTATCTTTGTTTGTTTGGAAATTAAAATTCTTTGGTTGGATTGCAGTTCGGAAATGGGGCCTGCATTTCAAGTTAAAAATAGCGGGAGCAATTTACCGCAGTCTGTTTATCTTTAAAAAGTTCCACTCTACTGCAAAATTAGCAATGGCATAGAATAATAATTATCATCAAATATTAAACATGAAACAACTATGACCTATGAGGTTTTGTTGTTTTTATTTCAAATTGGTTAAAGTTACTTATTAGTTTAAAATTGATAGATAAATTATTGATATTCTGTAAGGGCTAATCAATGGAATGGATAGTATATCAAATTTTATAGATAGATAATAATAATGTTTTTCTCTGGGTATGCTGGGAAAGGCCAGTAAATAGCGCTCTTCCATATAACTTAGTCAGAGTGAATTGGAAAAATCACTAAGTTAACTAATTTTCAAAATAGCAATGTGTTACGATAAATTTATTATTTTCGTAACATGTTCCATTTCTTCTAATTTTCATTATAAAGTTGCATTATCACCATTTCAGAATCAGCAAAATAATAATAATGCAAATATCTGTTATTAAGAGAAGGTACCGCCATCAGGTACCTGATAAATTTATTTTTCCAAATTGTGATAGTTTTCTTTATATTTATCTTGCTTCCAGCAAATAAATGGATTTCTGTCTTTCTTCAACTATGATTCTGAAATAATTATTTTTGGCTTGATGACCTTATTAATTAGTGGTTTTGTGCTTCTAACATAACCTTAAATTTGAATCATTATAATTTGTAAACAATTAGAATGATTCTAGTGTGTTTTTATCTATATATTTCCATTTAATCAGCGTGGTGTTTCATTAACGAAGTGAGCACGGTCTTTTGTGTGTGTTTGAGTGATGTATTCTGACTGGTTCAATGGTTACTATGCACTTAGGTATAAA